AAGGAGATGCTCAAGCACAAAATAATCTTGGTTGTTTATACAGAACAAGTATTAGTATAGAGTTAGATTATCAAAAAGCAGTTGAATTATATCAACATGCAGCTATGCAAAGGGATTCTTATGCACAAGATAACCTTGGTTGGTGTTTTGAAAATGGAATAGGTGTAAAGAAAGATGTTCAAAAGGCAGTTGAATTGTATCAAGAAGCAGTTGAGCAAGGGAATGCTCATGCATATGTTAGTCTTGGTCTATGTTACAAAAACGGAATTGGGGTAGAAAAAGATATTCAAAGGGCTATTAAATTGTTCCAAAAGGCAACTGAACAAAAACATGCATATGGGCAGTATAACCTTGGTTGGTGCTATGAAAAGGGAGTTGGAGTAAAGCAAAATGAACAGAAAGCTATTGAATTATATTATAAAGCAGCTGAACAAGGGTATGTTAAGGCACAAAATAAGGTTTATTTTTTCAGTTATAATGATAGTTCCAAGTTAAGAGAGAGGGTTCAGGAATTGACAGAATTGTATCATAATAGTAAATAAGATTAGTTTTAGAATATGATATTTTAACTCAGTGATGTTTAACATTAAATTATTAGTGTATGGATAAAGTTTGTTGTACCACTAACTTATTATAATGGGGAAATTATATACTAAATAAAGTTTTAGTGAATTAATTGCTACTGTATTGCAACTGGTATTTTCAAGACTAAATTCCATTTAATATTAAAGTGTTATTATTATATTGTTATTGTATACAAAGCAAAAGTATACATCAAGGAATTGTTTAGATTTTGGTAAATGTCAAGCTATGCTAAACTATTACTATGTTTAGCAGACTTTTGTGGTCAATTTTATATGAAAAATGAATAGTGTTTGGTTATTCTCAGCATATATTATTTTTGTTAAGCAGAAAATGGATAAATTACAGGCGCAAAGGTTCAACATCAAAAGGCATAAAATTGTGGTGAGTTATAAAAAAAGGCAGGAAGCAAGTCATTCAACACTAATACTAACACAGGCGCATTTGTATCAGAATATGTACAGTAAGAAATTCTTATCTGCAGTATAGCATAATGTGATATTGATGATGCTTAATATTATGACACATACACAACAAACATACTGATAGCCGTTGAAAGTAGTTATTCTGTTACAAACTTGTTACCTAAAACATTGATTCCGATGATAATGTCCGGATGTATTAGAAGAGTACGCCTTTAGCGTTTAATCGTAGGTGTAGATAATAAAGAACGCAATTTCCAGATGTATTAGAAGAATAGAAACGACGTCCGTAGAGTAGTTTTGGCGCCTTAACGTTGCTGTCATACATGGTTGACCTAATATATGGATCGTACGTTTTGGTTAACATCCCAATTATAACGACAGAATTATAAATAGACGAATAAATAGAATACTAACTCGTAAATTTGGTAGGAGCCAACATTCTGCTGAAGGTTACATAAAAGCTCTGAAGAATGGTTTAAACATTGCAAAATTTGAAATTTTATCTTGAACAGCGCATACTTACAACACCAATGTGGGTTATTCCTGTCGGTTCTATGTAACAACGTGCCATTTTATTGCAGAAAACAGATTTGAATTATAGTTTTACTACTTTATATTGTTTTATCGTTCAAATTGTTAGCGATTGTATTTTTTTAAATGACTGTGAAACGGTTAACAAATAGCATTGAAGCTTATACTTAACAAAAACTTTTAACCTACGGGTCAATTTATTGCTTGAGGCAGATGAAATATAATAAGAAAATTACCCATTCTATTCTATCTTTTAGAAAACATCATCTCGTTAGTTTAGATTTCAGTTTATGCTGTGACATCTCGAAGCGGACAACGCACTATTTTGTGCTTTTAATAGTAATAGCAGAAAGAAGTATTCATCGCACCGTAATGTAATTACATAACGTTTCTGTGTATACTTAGAAAAGTATTTAATCTTAGCAATACCTTGAAATTAGCAGTTGGGAGTTTATTAGATAATAAAAGAACAAAATGTTACAAAAAGTCGCGTCCTTGACACGTGCATCAGAGTAACTGGATGGCATAATGCATTAAACAGTAATAAAAATATCGGTACAAAATGATCGATCATAGAGTCAACATGAAGACAAATTATGTATGGTCAAACTTATGACAAGTGAGAGTTTATTAGATGCTTCACCGTGTAGTAAATCAATAGCCATGTAAACCGCTTTATAAAAGTTGGGAGTTCTTTTGTTAAAGTATTGTGGACAAAATCTAAGTTTTACGTCTTTTAAAAAAATAGCATAAAAAGCGCGTTTTACGGACCACTGATGTCAGCATAATAAGTATAACATTTCATATTCAAGCTTGACACATACTATTGAACTGTAACAAAAACAATAAAATTTGACGTTTAAAACCATCAAACCTTTTTAAGGCGATAAAAACAGCGCTACATTAACGACGGAACAAAAAAGACGTACTAAGGTTTGGTAACATATAAATTCTATTGTTAACGGCGTATCAAGTATTTAAGATTATGATACGTACCGACATTAAATGTACGCTCTTTTACCAAAATTATTTCTGGTATGGTATAATTGTTTGCTTTATCTAAGTTTCTGAATTAGAAGTCACCGTTAAAAAATGGGGTTTTTCCACCAAGGATTAAACTTGGCTCAAATAATCGATTAATGATAAGGTTTCTGTCATAGTTAATGTTGTAATAGTAACACATTGTACATACTGATCCGTTACAGTGACTTGCGTAAATTAATGAGTATTTTATTCGAAAAGTACAGTCAATCACCTTCATAAAATTTTGTCAGTGAATGACGCCAATACAGATTTTTGAAAAAAATAGACTTTCATATGTTTTATTGATTGATGGTCAGAGACTTTTGGTCGCCCACTGTACTTATAAACGACGCGACGTCTAACGATACAGTTTATCGATCACCAACTTTAAACACCCGCCTACCTGTACATATATACACACCACTGTATTTCGCATTGCTTTATCATATAGGTAGATAAAAAATAATTGTATTAACTAACTATTGTTCTTTAATTGGTTCACTAGGTGGCTGCTCTCCTTTGTCTCTTCTGGCGGACGAGCGCGGATCTGGATTAAATGGTGCAGTGATGCCCCTTTACTCACCACTCACCTGCAGTGAAGGGATCCCTGATGATTGGATCATGGGTAATGCCCGGAACACTCTCAGACATCTCCTTTTTCTTCTATTTTACTCACAGCTTTTTAAATGACGGGAAGAAGGTTTAGAGTAAGTATAAGGTAAGTGTCGCGTTGTTTTACGTTATAAACTAACCCTTTTCTTTTTCTTTCTTTCCCTTTTTTTTTTCTCTCCTGATGGGTTTGCTGGGTGATCGGATCCAATGAGACGCGAGTGAGTTTGAGGGACTGATTCGGTGGTTACTTTGTTGCTTGTGAAGAATCTGTTCCTAAAGCTGATTAGAGATAAAAGGTTTGGCACGCCGATTGGAAGCAAAAGGTATTCACATTTATCTACCCATTATACATGTTTTTTTACCAAGACCAATCCTAAATAAATCGGTAGATCTTGCCGCTCTGCTTATTGGACTGGAGCAATTATACACGTAATTTAATGCATGTAAGCTTAGTTATCATAACAATAGTATTAACATTATACAGTACAATGTTCAGTGGGTTAATCGGGCTACTCCGGTGGATTATTTTAATGATAACGAAAAAAAAAAATCAATACTGCCAAAAAGACAAGTCAGTCGTTACAAGAAAACATTGTAATTACTTGGAAGTGATAAAATAGTTGTTTACTTAAGATGATAATTAATGTTGAAGGTAAATGAATACATAACACGATATTACTCTGGGTTGAAACCTAAATTGAACTATACTGTTGTCTCACTATCAGTCTACGTAAAGTGAAATTAATATTACACGCGAACATCGATAATAAGTTTATATATGAAAATCACTTTGAAAGCATGGAACGGACCATGCCACTGATGAGCACTTTATTATTATGTTATTATAAACCCGCTTTTCTGGATTCAGTTTTACAATATAATTGATTTCCGCCGAAATCGAAACAAAATGTATTACATGCATATCAACATAGCTTGTTCCTAATCGGGTGTACGCTTTAAAATTTGATTGGCCAACTACACCATAAAAACGACCATTCCGTGTGTAACTCGCGAGTAATGAAGTTACGACCACGTCGAGCAGCAGGCACTGTAGGATCAAAATCCTCTTCAACATCGTTAAGTCTTGACAGCAACCAGACTGGAACTAGAAAAGCGAAAGCTTTGACAAAATCTCTAAAACCAAAAAAGTCCTCCGGTACACCAACTCACGACGACAATCAGATAGTAACTAAAAAAGCAACAGCTGTTGCAAAGGCTCTGGAATCAAATTCTTCTTTAACAACAGACGGTGAGAATGGTAACAAAGAGGTAGGAATCACAACTTTAGCAAAGGCTCCGGAATCAAATTCTTCAGCAACAAACGATAAGAATGGTAACAACCATATAGGAACTGCAGCTGTAACAGCTTTAGAGTCGAATCGTTCTTCAACAACAGACGACAACCGTGATAACAACCGGATAGGAACTACAGCGGTAACCACTTTAACAAAGGCTTTGGAATCAAATTCTTCTTCAATAACAAACGATAGGAATGGCAACAATCATACAGCAACTGCAGCAGCGACAGCTTTAGAGTCAAATCTTTCTTCAGTGACAGACGATAAGTGTGATAACAACCAGATAGGAACTAAATCAGCAACAGCTTTGGCAAAGGCTTTGGAATCAAATTCTTCAACAACAGACAATAAGCATAGTAAAAATGATGTAGATAGTTTATTGCATAATTTGAAGAAACAGGTAGAAGAGAATCCTTATGTATATAATGCTCACCTTGAATACATAGCAGCTCTAAAGCAAGAGGGCAGAATTGAAGAGTTGAGAAATGCAAGGCAGAATTACCATGTCTTATTTCCTGTTAATGAAACTATGTGGCTGGAAGAGATTGAGGAAGATATGTGTCTAGCTAAAAACCAAGAAAAGACGCGTCAAATAACGCAATTGTTCGATTGGGCATTACATGATTTTTACTCTATCAATGTATGGAAACGATATATCGACTTTGTGACAGATAAACACATGGAAGCTCCATCATCATTCACTCTAGATGAAGTTCGAGCTGTGGCAGATCGAGCCAAAAACGCAACAAAATTTCACATTGCGCAATCTCATATTGTATGGGATACGATCCTAGACTTTGAAGAGAAACTGCTCGAGAAGTTAGGACCTGTTTCAGCGCAGTTGGAAACAGTTCGTACTCTATATATCGAATATCTAGATGTTCCCCATTCTATGATCGATACTACTTGGCAGAGATACTCTTCGTTCATTACTAAATATTTCAGTGCTGAATACGAAGCTCGCATGCTGGACGGTAACGCAAAATATAGTGAATCGAAAAAAGGGCTTAATCAACGAGAGGTGTACGAAGATCGAATAGATCAGTCGCTCCGACGTTCTGAAGACGCACTATCTCACTTTCAAGCTTATATTGACTTTGAGAAGAGAAACGCGCATTTTGGTAAGAAGAAGAAGCAGAGTTCTGCGGATGTCAAATCTGAAAAACGGAAACAATTTCACAGGACGCGATTTTTATACGAGCGAGCCGTCGCAATATACTACACAGATCAAATGTTATGGGACGATTATATTGTTTTCTTAATTGATAACAATGCTAATACTTCAGAGACATTCTCAGTCACCGGCCGGGCCATAATGAACTGTCCATGGGCTGGCGATCTGTGGTGTAGACATATTAGGATGGCTGAGGAGTTAGGAAAATCGCATGTCGAAGTTGCTAGAATATGGGACGAGGCTTTTGCAAGGGGCATGCTTAATAGTGTTGACACCAGTATGGAACAAGTAGTGAAGGTTCTAATAGCAAAATGTGACTACGAAAGACGGAGAATTTATTGGACAAGTGACGATGTAGCGGATCAAGTTGCGAGATTGATTGTTACATTCGAAGAAGGATTGAAGATGGTAAACGATGGTGACCCCTATCACAGAATCGATAAGTATTACATTCAAATCCTGACACACACCATGAATGACATAGGGAAGGCACGTGAGATATGGGAAAATATGGTAAAGGTTCACCGAGAATATTCCGAGCTTTGGTTAGAGTATGCCGAATGGGAAAAGGAGCAGAAGAATTTTGAAGAGGCGCGAAAGATATACAAGAAGGCTGTGAATGTGAATTCAGACTGGCCAGAACGCATATTTGATGCTTATGAGACATTTGAACATCATTTCGGTAGCTTGAAAGATTTAGAGACAGCTCTTACTCTTATCCGTAAGCGGGCTAAAGTGGTTGCTGACAAGCGATCTAAGGACGCTCAGCAGGCTCAAGCCAATAATTCAGAGACCACACCTGTTGACGTAAGCATGAAGAGGAAAGTAGAACACCTCGATAATGACGAAAGTGCACCAGCGGCTAAGAGAAGTAAGGGTAAAGAATATGCAAAGGTGAACAGAAGGGATAGAGAACATGCTACCGTAGTCATTGAAAATCTTCCTAGAGGAATCAAAGAAGGAGAATTAAAGAGCTTCTTCGACATCTGTGGAAAGATAAGGGAAATAAACATATACAAAGAAGACGATGACACAATTTCAGCTCATGTGGAATTTGTTGACAGAGACAGCGCCGCTGCAGCGTTGACCAAAGACAAAAAGAACATAGGAGGTCATGAGATAACAGTATACGCAGCGGATTGCGTTTTATATGTTACGAATTTCTCTGAGGAGATTGACCGACCTGCGCTAAGATCTCTATTCGAGAAATATGGTGAAATAGTCGAAATGCGCTACCCCAGTCAAATATTTAAAAAGCCTCGGAGATTCTGTTATGTGGAATACAAGGAACCAAGAGCCGCCCGTGCAGCGTTAGTGCTCGATGGCTACGAAGCTACACCTGGTCTGCGACTAAAGGTAGTTATTTCCAATCCCGATCGACGTACGGAAAGAGGTCAGGCCAATCAGTATGAAATTGTCGTTCGTAATCTCCCCGCGGTGGTTGAAAAGAACGAGTTGATGGAATACTTTCGCGGAGCTGGGCAAATTGTTGATGTGAGGATTCCAATGACAAAAGATGGTTTGTGTAAGGGGAAAGCTTTTGTCAAGTTCTCAACGGTCGCTGAAGCACAAACTGCTGCCACATTGCTGAACGAGACAGAATTCAAAGGCTGTTTGATTACGGTGGATCAACTTGGAAAGTCACAGAATACAGACTCAAAAAAGACCGAAGCGAATCGATTTGTAAAAAAGGAATCAAAACAAGCGTCGGCAGCAGTGAATAAGTCATCCACTACTATTACTTCTTTTATGCCTCGAGTTGTGAACAAGCGAGGACAAAGCGGCAAAGGGGGTAGGCTTGTAATGAAAACGTGAAAAAATTTTAAAACAATTTAAAATTAAAAAAAAAATAATAAACGATTTTACTATATCTACGATGCTTAATTAAGATAAAAAGAGTAGTCTTCTATTTCTCGGGCGGTTTTTTGTTGTGTGCACGTGACGAGTTCTGGGAATGCTTTGTAAAATCTATTGTTCTTATGCTCAATTTAGCAGTTGCCTAAAATTTTCTAACAAGCCGCCGATTAGCAGAAGTAGTAGTTTTAATCTATTTGATATTTCGACAGTTCAAACAGCGTGATCGTAATGGGTAAAGGGGAATTTGCAAGGTCTGACCTACATCCGGATGTACTTGCTATTAGGAACAAATTCAAATGAAATAAATAATGATTGAAGCGGCTACCAATAAACCTTTGTTAAAATTAATATACATATTGTTCGAACAATTGGTTGTCTAATGGAAATGTTCTCTATAAAAATTTCCGTGGTATCTACATTATTACTGTTCCAAAAGTAGCACCTTATTGCTAAAGATGTTTTTGAATATTGATGGATGACAATCTTTCAGATCAATTTCGTTCTTCATATTCACCAAGACGCGGAGGGGGAGATGGATGCGGATACGCGTCTTTGATCCACTTGTGCATTCTATTAAAAACATAGTACGTCGTCTCTAACGCCAGCCATCCAATCAAAGCCTCACCAAAAAATCCTCCAAGCATACTCCTATAAAACCCCAAAATGCCGTTTTCTCGATACACTCGCTTGATACAATCCCATATCCCTGCATATTTTACCACACCGGGGGCACCAGCCATTCCGCCATTACCCTGAGCGAGCAATCTATGCACTACAGTCTCTAACGGATATAACAACGCCGTTCCCAACAAATGACCGGCAAGCGAACTCGCAAAATTGGGGAAGAATTCGTAAAACAGACTCTCTTCGTCTTTACGTTTCTGTTCTTTTTTGATCTTTTTGTATATTTTTGTACGCGTGTGAGACTGTATAATCTTGAAGAAAGCATGATACGAGTATGCAGGTAAGAGCGTGTTGTTGAAATAAAAAGCGTTTTCGGGACAAGTGAAGAGACAACGCATGGTTGTGCAGTAGGCACGGAGAAAGGCGCTCATCGTTGGAATGGTAAAGGATAGGTTGGTACGTTGAAGCGTTGAAAGGTGAAGAAGAGGAAATAGAATTGTATAGGATATAAAGTCCCTGCTGAAATTTTGCGAGTTAGAGTGTTGATAAGCATCTTTCAATTGAGTAGGCGGGAGGGGGGAGGGATGATCATGCGAATCTCATTTCTTGTCAACATGGTTACAAGATTTTACTAACCTCGGATCAAAGAAATAATTTCGACACTTTTGAAACCAACTATTCCCTATGGCCATACCCATCAGACTTTCAATGTTCTCGGCTATCGTATCATGAGCTAGTACCAGCGAATGATATATAACTTGTAGTTTGAATCCACTCCATATTTTCGCGTATCCATGCGCTTGCCCCAAAGTACGTAAATATTTCAAGTAATCCAATGGTGATGCATAGTGGTTTTTAAAGACATCTGGATAGACCTGGTTGGGAAATGTGATTTCAAAAAATTAAAAACCACCGGCGATTAAACGAGTGAGCATGCGCGACAAGAATGTGACGAGTTTATAAGCAAATCAATTACATTTACCTGGTGACGAGTGCGCGCCACAAAGAATGGGTATGTGAAAAAGTAAAGCGAAGCTAGCGAACCAATCGCCAAGCAACATCCGCATGTAAGTTCAATCCATTCTGAAAAATATCGCATGCGGGGGATCAATATGAACGATATAAATGTTCTCGTATATACTTTTAGGTTTAGAAATCATTCTGTGATAATTGTCAACAAACCTTTTATAGATTAACTTGTCGTACCTTTCTGTTCATTTGGCACGTCGAATCTCGCTATAGTCAGTAAGATTTCTCTTTGCGCAAGGTATAAAGATTCATCGCGTTGACGCACAAGCGGATCGTCGCTTTTTATTGTTTCGTCGTCTTCAGTAATTCCTAGACCGGTCGAGCCTGGCTTTGACTCTGTCATTGGAAGGCGGAGCGCCAAGTGCCATAGATATTCCGTTAATACCATTTTAAAAGAGGGGAGTGAGTTGGTTCTGTTCTAGCAATTAGCAATTACTGATATACGGCATAAAAAAGTTGTTCACGTAATTGAAACAGTACGGTGACACGATTTGGGAAATTACTATTACGTAAGAAAGATAAAGTTTATCTGATGGGCAGGGGATGAAATGTTGATCTTTTTAAATTAAGACTTTTAACCATGCTGAATGGAATGTACCCCGAGAAACATTTTTATCGATTTCGGTCGGGCGGCAGGACGTGCGTTTGCGACATTAGCTGTTTATATATATCGTATTTCACGTTCCCCCCCACTCACTGTTATGTCATTTGACATTTTAGAAATATTTATGGTCTGTCAGTAGTTTCAATCCCAATTTCATCCTCGTCATCCGATGCAAATTCCGCCGACTATGCAAATGATGAATACACACAATTGTTTCCAAAGACAAAGAATCTTGTCTTTGTCAGCGCATTTCAAAGTGTCGTTTGCTTAATCAATGCAAGTAATCATTGGAAAGTGGTCGAGTTACCAATTGGTGAAGACGGTGGTAAGAATAAAAACAACAAAGACAAAATAAAAAACAAATAATAACCCAATTTAACATTGTTTTGGACAAGAGGGTTGGATAAAAGCATGTTTGTTCAAGAGTAGCGCTTTTTCTCCCGGAAAATAAATTGAGTTATCGCTTTTGTAACCAAATAGGCGAGATAGTTTCATTAACTGCATTCACGACGAATCAGACAAATTTATTCCTTGTATTAACAGTTGTCAATGTATGAGTTCAGACTTTTTGGCAATTTAAAATTTTTTCATCTTTATTTTTCTAACCATTTGATTCTTTTCTTGTCTCAAGCCTAAAATGAAAATAGAAGTAGATGACGAAGTTATCCATGACTTTGCTCTTCGAATATATTCTTGTCAAGACATTCTATCCGATGATGGGCTGGTCCGCCTAATGCGTATGTGGCTATCGTTTTCATTTCGTTGAGAGATTCTCGTTAACAAATATTTTGATCTTTTATATATAGGTAACGTTCAAGTAATCAAAATAGATTTCACTCCAACACAAGTCATTTACACAACATTTGAGAAACGCGGTCAGCCGCTTGATTGTATAATTGTTTGCGGATTCGACGGGACTATTCATTTGTACACTGAAGTGAGAAATGGTTTACCTATTGCGCGCCTGTCTTTAATCGCAGACATTGATACCGATACTCCTCATAAATAAAAACAGACGTCCAGAGGCAAATGGGATGAAGAACGAGAGCAAGTCTATTTTCCATTATTACGTGAATTGGCTATTGACAGAACTAGGTGAGAAATGTGAGCATTGGTTTTCTTTCTCGAATCATTGCATCTACTAATGTGACAATTGTTATTAATGTATCTTAGCATTACAGCACTTGAAATACGTGATATTAATAACAAGATAATCATAGCAGCTGGATGTAACAATGGATTATTACATTTGGCCATCATGGAGAGAGATGCATCGACCGGATTGATTACAACCAGAGTCGATTTGAATGCATCATCAATCGACCTATCCAGTCTGATATCTTCTATGGTTGTATTCCAGTCATCCTCAAGTAAAGGTATGCTTTGTCCTCATAGCATAGAGATTTTAATATAACCCACTGAATTGGTTTTCAAAATTTAGGGGATATTCATCTTGTGGTCACGTGTGCAATTGAACGAGCAATAATTTTCAGGTATTGTTCGATGACGATTATAGTATCGTTTCATATTACGGTCTTTTTGCTAAAAACCCGTGCAATTATTAATTGAGTTTCCACATACTTAGGTCTATTGATAAGAAGGGTTTGTCTTCTCCATTCTATCTACCAGAATCCACGCAGTACGATAGCGTGCTATGCGCACACGTTGCTGATGTGGATTGGGATGCAAAGAAGGAAGTGTTGATCGGAACTTATGGCAGACAGCTGTTAATATACAAAGAATGTATGAATAATAATATTTTACCATTAAAATATTTACAAACAAGGCGTTAATCAACTGTGCTAATTTTATAGCGGTGAATGAAGATAATGAATTGGAATACTATTTAGCGTCGAAACACAGTTATCCACATCCAATATATGGAATTCAAACGGTCGACCTGAAAGAGGACTATATGTGCGAACTTATCGTGAACACACAATATGGAATACATGTAGAAGAGGTGAGATCATTTAACATCAACTTTTTGTCAAACTTTTCATGACATTTTACTGAACGACTTTATGTTGCCCTATAGCCCAACGGTGAAGTATTCAATGCAAGGCTTATAGAACTAGCACGTGAGTTCAACACGACGACCGAGCCAACAGAGCCACCAGATCCAACAGAGTCAATAGACGCAGATCCAGCAGAGTCGATAGCATCAGCAGATCCAGCGGAACCACCAGAGCCAACAGAGTCAACAGAGCTACCATCGCCAACAGATCCAACAGATCCAACAGAATCTATTAGACTGCAGGATGATAACGAAGTTAGTATTGAACAAGAATCGTGAGACGCGATAATGGGCGCGCTATGACGTATGAATTTCCCCTCTTTCACGGTGATGTTAACGTGCGTTTTTGGTTCGAATCCAAGAAGAAGACATAGCATCTATTGTACGATCGATTTGCAAATTGTATGTTATATGACAATACCCGGGATTTTTTTGAATAATAATATCTCAACTACTTAATTTATTTAATATTATACATATAATAAAACGAAATCCATCTTGCTGGTTCCAAAGTGAAAATACTTGTTTACGATACCATCTATGCTATCGATACGGCATGACATTATTCCAATATGTTTATAGACTAGGAACTTATAATTATCTTGCTAGACGACGCACAGAGTTCTGTGTCATCAACAAGTCGCGAATGTAAGATTGGTCCGTTGATGCGCAATGTGCACTTTTCAAATAAACATAGCTGTTGTTGTTATTATTATTATGATTAAATATTATTAGTCTTGTGTATGTGTGAGAATTTTAACGACATCAGGTTAGTATGCACATACGATGAGCAGACATTGCCTGGATAGCGAAACAAATGTCGAAAATCCAAACGCTTATTATCACGTATGTTTTGCCAAAAGTAAACCATTGTTCCTTCTCGCTCCTTTCGTTTGACCAGTGTCGGAATGCGTACGCGTGTACGCCCGAAACAATTATAGGCAAGCGGTAAGGAATGTGATTTTTTCCCCCGAGGACGCATTCGCAGGCGCAGGCATATGCTAATTTCTTAAATGTCGCCGGATGGTAACACATCCTTAATAAACTTGTTTAAACATGATTACAAATTCTTATGGTAATGGGTCTTTCTTGGTTTGTCATCTTTCGATTGAAAACCTTCACGTCTTCATTCATGGTTTGCTATTTTATTTGGTGTCGCGTCGTAGACTTTCTTTCATTACAATTTGAAGTTCTCAAAAACTGTATCTTTGAAAGGTTTGCGTTTATTCTACGTGCACAATTAAAAACTGTCTCCTTTTCGGATGGTCAATGATCGTATTTTAGATAATCCCGTCCATCAATTTAGTAATCACATGGATTGCATAAATACATAATAATATTAATTAATGATTGTATTATTAGCAATGGTAATAGTAATAGCAATGGTAATGGTAATAGTAATAGTAATAATACTGATAAAGAGTTTAATTATCAGACTCGTGAACTGTACCCTATTGTAGTAAGTGTGACTTTGAGAAAACTTGCTCTTGTTTCTGCCAAGTACAGGCTTTAATTCATGATTTTTACAGTAAACTCGGGCCATTCCTTTTATGTTTTGACAAAAGCGGGACCCGACGATTGTTCTCTCTAATTTGTCTGTTATTATTATTATCGCAACATCTCAATTACGAATGCGTAGTACAGTATGCGCCTATAAATAGCTAAGCGGTTTATTTATACACAATGAGCAAACGAACAAGTCCCTATTTCTATGCATGAAACGGGTTACGGTTACCAAATAAAGCTTACTCATAAATGGCTAAAGGACAATAAAGTTCTCTCTAGATAATTCAACATACCAAAACTGGGGTGTTCCTTATGGTCTAAGACGTCAATTTCTACGGGACCGGTTTTGGTCCTACCTGCATATATTTTCCCCTTGCGGAGAACCTTGGACTATTTTTATCTCTACATTTTTATTAATGCGTGTAACCTCACGACACGCCAATTTCCTTGTTTGACAAAAATTTGATTACCAATAAATGATGATCTCAAACGGGGTTCATAAATTCAACCCTTTCCCCGCTATAATCCAGCGCAAATGCGTCATCCGACTCAACTCTCAACGATTTATTGAGACACTCCAAGGCGTTGTCAAACTGTTCAAGC